TCTGTTATACACATTGTAAAAACTAAATGTTTTGATGATTATTTAATTATTAAAAATGTTGTTGACACATTAAATATTTTAAAACACATATGATCATACAATGATTTTATTACTTTGTTATCTAACAAAGTAATAAAATAATTATATGATCATATTTGTGAATTAGAAAATAATGTTTTCATATTTTATATAGAGATATTTGTATTATCAACAATTATAACTTTCTCTGAGAAATATTATTTATTAAAAAAAAGAAAAATAAGTTTATTAAAGAGAAATTTAATAAAATAGATGGTAGTTAATCATTGAAACATACAAAATGTTTCATCTCCAAGATTAAAGTAAAATAAAACTGCCTATTTTTGGTAACAATAAAACTGTTTACTTCTATTAACCAAAAAATGTTTTGGTTAAGTAGAAGTAAACAGTTTTATTGTTACCAGAAATAAGCAACTTTATTTTATTTTAATCTTGGATAGTAGCTGATGAAAATACTTTTAAACAGGATTATTTTTAAAGTAGTAAATACAAGACTGTCTTAAATAAATTTACAAACTTCTAGACAAAGTTGATGTAGTAAAAATTGAAGAAACTTCATAACCACATCTTTGTTATAATCTAACTCACACATAGGAATATCATTAAATATGGCATGTTATTATCTGTTTTACTATAACTTATTTAACTATTTACTTTATATAAGAGGACTTAGTTTACAATGAAGAATAAATAAGTTCTAAGAAGTTTCAGAGAATTAAGAATATTTGTAAATTAAAAATTTTTAATTTTCCAATGTTTGTAGATTTTTAAATATAATTGAATAACTATAATAATATACAGACAATGATCTTTTAAATTCATTATTTTGTCTGTATTAGTTAGTGTAATTTTACATTTTTTATACACTGCTACAATTAATGGCTCTATTATCCACAAAAACAACAAATTCCCATTAAAAATTGGCAATATCATGCCCAAAACAAGGCTCAAACCTGCAATCAAACAGATTAGGAGCAATGTATGATTAATTGATTCAATATTTAAATAAATCTTATTTGTTTATTACTATAATGTCTGAATAAATATTTATGAATTTGTAAAAAACAGTTTGACACATTTTATAATATCAATTAAGTTCAAAATAATGTTTGATGACAAAAAAGCAACTGATTTTGTTTTTACAACCATTTGATTAAAAGTAACAGGTACAGCTTTTAAGTGTGTCAAATAGCAGCGTAAATATTTGTAATTCATAAATAATTATTTTGATGTGGAATAAATTAAATTCTAATGCATAAATAAATTTTATATCCTTTTAAAAATTTATCAATTTGTTGATTACATTATAATGTTTTTGGAATTATAAAAAAGTATAGTAAATAGCAGGAAAGTTGAATGATTTTAAATCAATTCTAATTAATTTTTTGTGTTAAAGTAAGAAAAATACTTTTGATTTAACAACAACCAAAATCTACAAAAATTAGTTAATAATTTCTGTTTTATTTGAAAATTTTTATTGAATAAAAATATAAGGAAACTAATAATAATACTAATTGAAAAATGTTAAATATTTTATTTCATCATACTTCTGCTTTATATTAATATAAATTATATTCAAATCATTATTCATGATAAAGACAGCAATTATTTCTAAATATTATAGTGTATATACAGTACATTCTTTTACTACTGCAGTTACATTCATTTTTTTATTATAATACTTGATGTCAATCTGAAATCTTTAGAACAGTTTAGTGTCTGTTATTTTTAAAATATGTAGTATTTCATCGTTATTTTAAAAAATTATTTATTAAATATCAAGAATTAAAAAAAATAGTTTTATTTGTTTGTTTGTTATGAAAGCTCACAGAAAGAATTTTTTAAAGCTTTTAGCTTCTTCAATAGTTTTTCTTAAAATTTTAAAAAGATATGTTTCTCATTATAACTGGAAACTGTGATAGTTTACTTTGTTTACCATCTTTAATGTGTATTGATTATCCATAGTTTATATGGTATGATGTTTGTCTTTATGAATATATATTTATTAAATTCAGAAGTAACAATTAATTTGTGCGTTTTTTAATTGATTGATAATCCTAATTGTTGAATATTTTAATTTTTTTGATGTAGAAAATTTAAATCTACTATATTTTGGCTTAGATTTCTTTAAATTTTGTAATATACTTTGATTTTTTTCTACAATGAACAATAATGCAACTTTCAAGTTGAAATAATGGAATATTTCTTGTTGTTCTTAAGATTTGCAAGTTAAAAAACTGTACTTGTTTCCTTACTTTGCAAATGTAAATTAAAACATTAAAAAAAGCTTCAATTTATTATTTAGTTGCCTGAAATAACAAAATGACAAATTTTTTAAAAATAATAATAATTATACCATATGTTGTGTTGAAAAGTTTTAAGGCTAATTTTATTGCAAGAATACTGTATCACATCCAATTATAATGATATTATTGGTATTACACTTTAACATATGACCAGATTTCATTGGCCTTTGTTCATTCAAAGGTCTTATATTGGAATGTCATTGATCTCCTTTGTAACTACATTCTGAATCCATCATGGCTTGGAATTTCCATCTTTTAAGGCAAACTTTAGTTTCAGAACAAGAGAATAGTCAGCATGAGTGAAATCTGAAGAGTAGGATGGATGAACAAAGTGACACTTCTCCAAAATTGCTTTGCAATTACAGAGTTATGGAATACAATGGGTGATCAGTTAACAAACACTTTCATGAAAGATTTTTATGTTCGGACATAAAACACCTCACAGAACAAACAGAAGAAGAAGCGACCTAAAATAATGAATACCGATTGGTCTTTACTTGTCTTCAGGCAACAATTCAAAACTTTTCAGAGCGTGGGAGATGTTGACATTGACACTCAACCCAGTATATACTGATTGGATAGTATTCCTTCAAACTTTGAAACTCTCCCTTGTAATTCCAGCCTTTCATTTTTCTGACAGAAACAATTCTTTTGTAATATTCTTCTGTAATATTTTTCTGACAGAAACAATTCTTTTTCTGACAGAAACAATTCTTTTGTAATAATGAGTGCCTGCCTGACAGTCTTGTGACTGTCAGGCAGGCACTCATTAAGTTTTGCATCTGTTTTTATTTTCAAAAGGCAAGAGTATAATATCATAGGTGAGCAGAAGATGTCTGATATTGCTGGGCAGTATGGCTTGAACAGGTTTACAGTAGGCTGTAGTTCAATCTTATCTAAGAAAGATACAGTATAATCGAAAAGACTCAAGCAGCTAAAGGAGTAACAAAAATCACATCTGAGAAATAAAGAACATTGAAGAGCTCATAATGGAACCTGAAATGGATCTGATGACAGAAAATCACCAAGAACTCTTGAATGGAGAACACCAAGAAACTCGGTGAGATATGCTTTCTTCTGAAAAAAAGGATTAATGCCTATAATTTGATAATGGACAGCACGCTAATCGTTTATTACAAAAACTTTTAACATATAAGCGTTAAATTAGACACCTATGTCACTAAAGACGAAAGTGTATATCGTCGAAAGCGCTCGTCAATTTAGTGACATAGGTGTCTAATTTAACGCTTATATGTTAAAAGTTTTTGTAAGGATTAATGCCTATATCTGCTATTAAACATCTTTTGAAGAACTGGGAGGATGTCAGAACAATGGTNGTTGATGTTAAGCCTAATGTAAACTTTTTAAAATAATAATCATGGCTATTGTATCGTTAAAAATTATTTCTTTATTTTGTACAAACAAAATAAATATTTTGAAAAATATAAAAACAAAAAAAATTATACTTTAGAAGTTAATCTAGTATCAAAAATGTTTGATTCAGCATGACACACAGTCCTAAGAAAAACACCACACAAAAGTGCCAGTGGTGCCAGCTAAACAACACACATCAACAAAGAAAATATTGGAGTAGCCCAAGATATAGCCAAAGATTGCAGCCCTACAGCACTAGCAAAAATTTAAATTTGCTGACTGGAATTCTTTCGGATAAACGACGCTCTACTGTATTGTTAATTTTTATATACAGTATATATAAAATGATTTTTCTGTACTGTTTCCATTTCTCACTGTCATCATACAATCTTATATTTAGATTTCTTGCTTCATCTCCATCATAATTGCAGCTATATTTAGATCTATCACATTGCTTTTTTTTTATTCAAGGGTTCCATTTTAGGATTTTTTTTGGCCATCTCTCATACATCATTTGACTTGCACATCCAAACAGTAGTTTGGGCATGCAAGTTGTCATCAGTAATTTTTAATCATAAAAATTTTATTCCAATTTTAATTAATTAATTTTTTTTAATTCTCCAAAATGTATTTATAATATTTAATAAAACAATTATATACTTAAATTTTATTTTATATTTGCTTTCTTAAATGGTCATATGCAATGTCTGTTTAGTGATCAGTTAGTCAGTTTATTTAAAATATTTGTTATATAAAAGTTTGTTACAGAGTTTCAATGTTAAACTTTAACTGGAAGAGCTTTTCTACTGGTTGCAGATGCCTTTTTTTAATTTATGTCAATTTTACATTTATTGAAAATTGATTAATATTAATCAATTTTCAATAAATGTAAACAGGGCTGAATTTAAACTTGTTGTGGCTCAAGCTGTAACAATCACAATGCCTTTCATTAAACAATAATAAATTTAAAAGCATAGGCCCTAAGCTATAGATTTCTGGTATGAGGCCTTAACTATAGCTCATTTACATTATACAAAAATTCAGCTTTGAGTTTAAAGAAAACAATATATTAGTTTTAACTATTTAACTAAATAGTTTCTGAAAATGAGCTTGTCACTAGATATTATATTCTGTACAATTATCTTTTTGTGTATTAATAAATAAAATTTAAAATTAATTATTTGAATCTAAAGATGGGCAAAAGAAATTGTAATGACAGAAATAAGAGTATTACAGATTTTTATCAAATTTATATATTTAAGTTAGTAATTTCTATTACAGAAAGAAATTCAAGCAATGAGTGCATGTAGTCATGAAAATGTAGTCAGCTATTTTACTTCTTTCGTGGTAAAGGAGGAATTGTGGTTAGTAATAAGACTTTTAGCTGGTGGTGAGTTATTTATTTATTTTAGATACTTTTAAATGTTGATTAAATTTGTTGATATTATTATGATTTGAATAGATTTAGTTTTTTCAATGTTTTATTTTAAGAATGACATATTCTTTTTTCCAAAAGCTGCTAAAACAATATAAAGTTTATTATTAATTTTTTCATGTAATTTTCATTCTAGCATGAAATTTTTATATTTGTTTCCATATTACAAACATGTTTAAAGTAAAAAAAATTTTAAGAAATTATTCTTACCAAAACATTTAACAAAATATTCTTCTGTATTAAATTTCAAATCACTTACTGGACAAAATAACCTTTATTTTACAGAAATTATTATTAATAAATAGAAATAAAATTATATATTTAATAAATTTGAATAAATCTAAGACAATAAGAAAACTACACGAGACAATAAACAATTGCAAATAAAAAATTCAAGATTAGTTGACAATTTGAAGTTAAAATTATTCATAAAATATTTATGTAACAATTCAATTTTGAAGCACTAAGTAACAATTCTTTTATCAATTTTTTGGACTATATAATCAACGGTTTATTTATTTAATAATGATGATGTATACCACTAAATTAATTAATTAATTAATTAATCTATTTATTTATTTAATGATGATTATATTAATTAGTTTCTAGTTTTATGCTTTAAAAATTAATTATTTTGCATTAGGTAATCTGCATATAATTTCACAAGTTAATATAATTTAAAAGCATTTTATATTTAATTTTTAAAATTTAGATGAGAGTCATATATATTATTACACTACATTGTAGTGAAATAGCTTTATTTCAGTACAATGTATAAACTTTAAAATATATCACATTGATCAAATTTTTTTTATTTTTAAATTAAATTATTCTAATTTTGTAAATTTTAGGAATATAGCAGTACAGCATTTACCATTATTTTGTATTTGGTTTTTTTTTTTTTCCTAAAATAATTACTTGTAACTGCTCAGTAGTAATTATATATATAGTGAACATAATTTTTGAGACAATTCAATGTTATATATATATATATAAAAGAAATTATGCTTTATTAACTGTGCAATATTAATCTTCTAAAAGTGTGTTAAGAAGTAAATATTAAATTTCTAGGCACAAAAATTCTTAGAAATAATAGTAAAAATCTGTTACTTGCAGCTTTACTGGTGCTTTAAAATATAATGATTTATACCTGAATATTTTTGAAACTTTGCATTCATTTTCAAGAGTGTTGAATTCAAACTTTCTCAGAAATAGTAATAAAGTTCAAGATAAAATACTGGCAACATTAAAATAGATCTAAACTAGAGTATTGTTTTGTCTGTTTAAGTTATAAATTTAGGTAGCATTAAAAAATTTAAAAACCTTTCTAAAATATGTCAATTCACTGTATTATTTAATAAAATTTAATCAAGATTGAACCAATATCTTCCCAAGATTTAATATTTTATATATTATATTATTAAAAATGATACATTTTAAAATATAATTTTTATGAATAAATTATTTATTTCCTTTCTTTCGTTTTACAATTTTATCCTAATTTATTTAGAATGATTACAGGTCTTTAAAAGGACAAAAAAAATTCTTAATAATAAACAATAATATAACTAAATTATTATACAGTGGAACCTCTGTATACAACCTTAATCCATTCCTGGTGTTTGGACTTATACCGAATAGGACGTATACCAAACCAACCTTTCCCATAATAAGTAATGTAAAAATGATTAATCTGTTTTCATGTAAAAAAAAATGGCTGGCTTTAAACACCTCGCTTTCCTGGCTAGTTCCTGCTTGATTTTTCATGAGATCAGCATGTATCTTTTTAGCTTTCTTGCAAATAATTACTTCCAATACGTTGTTGCCAGCACACTGTTTTTCAGTTATCCAAAGCAAAAACAATTTCTCAACATGATCTAATGTCTTCGATCTCTGTTTAGTAATTGATTTAACCCCTTTTGCAACGTTAGTAGATTTAATAATGTCTTTATTTTTCACAATTGTCGATATCATTGTTCTCGGAATATGGTATGCAACAGTTAAATCTCGAACACGCATGCCACCTTCATATTTCTCAACAATCTCTTTTTTCAGTTCCATTGTGATTTTACTCATTTTTTTTTTATTTTTCTGTTGCCTTTTTGCAATTCATGATTAATAAAAATAATAACGTTTTACTTACAAATTAAAATTAAAAGAAATTTAACAAAGTTATAAACTATGGCACCACGAACGTCTAGTGTGGTCTAATACACCGATAGTGCTACTTGTTCATAGATGGCACATATAATTGAATTAAGTCATATACCAAATAAAAGTTGTATACTGAGCAAAATTTGTTTCGTCCAAACAGGATGTATTCTAAAGCAGACGTATACCAAGGTACCACTGTATTTGTAAAATTGAATAAAATATAAGTATTATATAGCGAAATTGATAAAATTTTAAAATTGGAAACAAATTTCTAGGTTCATTATTAGATATTATAAAACATAAAATAAAAACAGAAGATTGTAGGCATGGTGTTTTTGATGAAGCTACTATTGCCACTGTTTTGAAAGAAGTCTTAAAAGGCTTAGAATATTTTCATAACAATGGTCAAATACATAGGTAAGATAAATTAACAAATTGTATTGACTGTTACATAATATATGTACTTATATTTATTTATTTATTAATATAAACTAATTTATATAATTTGTTCCTTACAGAGATATTAAAGCAGGCAACATCTTATTAGGAGAAGATGGAACTGTCCAAATAGCAGGTAAATTTTATAAATTAAAAGTTGTTATTTTAAAATATTTTTTTATATTCATTAATGATACATTTATTAAAATTAAATTTTGCATTTTCTATGATAAATTATTAGTTTTAACAAGCAGATTTTATTGGTATTAGTGTTGGATGAAAATATTGCATGTTATGTATAAATTCTTAAATGTTACAAAATTAGAATTGTACCTCTACAATTAAGTAAACAGTGGCTAATATTTTATATCATATGAGAGATGTAATTAATGATCTGGTCTTATTAAACTTACTTTTTATTTTTGAATAATAATTAAGTTTTATTTTATCTTTTTAACACATGAAGTGTCATGTATCATGTGCATTTCTGCAACACACACTAGACATTGAAATCTGTGCTGTGTTACTTTGGACAACAGGCTAGCCATATAAACATAATGGAAATAGTTAGAGCATGGCCTGTGGGAATGGAAATTTCATTTGACCCAGTAAATTTTTTATGATAGAAGGCTAATAGAAATTTAATCCTTTTCCCTATAAAATATGAGAAATATGCAAAGTTTGTTTTTTTATCTAATGTTTTTTTGCACAATGAACATGAATAAGCATAATAACATGATATCAAACACAAAACAAATATTTGAAAAATAATCTTTATTTTTCATTAGTGAATATAAACGGTAAATGTATTATTTTAGTGATTATCCTGTTTTTTTTTATTTTTAGATTTGTATTGGTTCATTTATTCAAGCTACAATTTATGCATTTATGTGATAGATAGAACTTTTGTTGAATTTAGAATCTGATGAGCATAAAATATGGCATAACATGATCAGAAAAAAATAATTTGTGCCACATGTTGCAATTCTGCAACAATCTAAAAACTGAGAAAAAAATGTTTTTCAACCATGAAGACAAAATTATATTAAATGTCTATAATTTTTATGCTATTTTGTCCATAAAATAAGTGTGGCCCAGTGTGATATTTTATGCCTCTCTATTGTGGTGCATAATATGTTAAAACATGTATTTTTCTTCATATTGAATTTCCTGTATTGTTTAAATTTTATTGCATGTGCTTATATTCTTTTCATATCCTCATTTCTTTCAAATTTTTATTCTCTAATTAATATATACTATCTGTAACTTTTAAGATAATTTGATATTTTTTTATATTAGATTTTGGTGTTAGCTCATGGTTGGCAACAGGAGGTGATCTTTCTCGTCAAAAATCGAGGCATACCTTTGTTGGTACACCTTGCTGGATGGCTCCAGAAGTTATGGAACAGGTAACTTTAAACTGCTTTGTACTTGTATCAAAATTTCTTGTACATTGATATATTTACTTCCTTTCTAATTTTATTTTAATCATGAGAACAATGTTTCATTTAGAAAGTCTGATAAAAATAATTTTTTATAAGTAAATAGTTTTAATATCACAGTCAAAAAATCATATTTTATTTTAAAAATTTTTATATTTTTAACTATTATAATACAGAAAAAAGCTTAATTTTGAGGGTAGGGATGAGTTTTATAAAAAATTGTAAATGCTAATAACAAGTAAAATTGTAATTAAGTCTGGCATTACTGGTAATACACATGATGTCTTTTATCTCTCCACCCCTCAACCTTTAATCACCAAAACTTAGCATCAATTTCCTAATAAATAAAGCTCCCTAAAAAATTTCAGAAATTTTCAACAAAAAGCACAGGAGTTATTAAGCTTCGAAGAGGATGAACAAAATTCTCCCACACACATACAACATCCATACATACAGAAAAATCCCTCAAATTTTTTTGCATTTCTTGACATTTCAAGGTGTCCTAATCCAAAAATGTGAAAATCTGGTGTGGGTCATTTTTTGCTGGATTGCCATACTTTCCTTCTGTTATAACAGCAGGGAAAGTAAAAGTTATTTATTTCTGATGAAATATATAATTAAAAAATGTTGATAGTATTATAATAGCATAATTTATGAACATTAGAACAACAAAGACATTAAATAAATTGTTGGATTGTTTTATATCAAATTGCCAATTTTGTTAAGTTGATAACTGTACAGAAAATAGAACTTTATCTTGCTTTTGTATTTTCCTCGTTTTAACATGCAATTGGGCTAAAATTTTAAAACTCTGATCTTTAATTTCTTACATACATGAAGAATGCTTTTCAAATTCTTATTTTCAAAGAAAGAGCATTAATAAGATGCTGGAAAATGAACTATAAGATAGATTAATAGTTGACAATTAAAAATTATTAGAAAGTAATTCTTGTCATTGTATGCAAGATCTTGAAAACCAATAATTTATTATTTTGCTGTCATCCTTTTTCTTGTATCTTGAACTACAAGAATAAATAAATGAAACTTGAAAAATAGGTTCCTTGTGAATTCATGGAATGAAACAAGTTGCAGTAATTTTGTTTGTTCATTGACTATGGAAAAAGAAATTAAGTGATCTATTTTTAATTAATTTATAACCAGACATTGAATAATTTATTCAATTCATTCATTGGATTAACAGAAATATTTTACTCAATGGCTTGAATCAAATAAAAAAACTGAAATACAGTATATGGTAAATCAAATCTTCACCCACAAAGTGTTACGATCTTATTTTTGTAATACTTGTTCTTGTTAATTATGAAAATCTTCTTCTTCAATAACAATACAAAATAAACTTGAAATGAGATAAAGTTAGACTTTCTCATTAATCATACTGATCAATCTTACTACATAAAGACCATAGTGTTCTACTAGTCTTGAAAAAACCACAAAATCTCAGAAAGACGTAAAAATCACAAAAAGCAAATATATTGTTAATTGTTTGTAAATTTTTTGCCATTGATTACCAAAAAAATTTTTCTAGATTTTTGAAAGAGAATAATTATTTACAGCTTATCAATAGTTAATGTTAAACATTGGGTTTATGTTTTGTATCCAGTTATTGGTTACAAAATAGATCATTCTTTCATTTGAAAATTAAGTACCTGGATATTCAATATACACAAGTATGTTTTAATACAAATATATTCCATAAAATTTCTGTAGTAATTTTAATGTGTTTGAATAGGGTAATTTGTATTAAACTGCATGAATTGTAAGTCATTAAGATTTATGCAAAATATAATACAAGCTTAATAGTGAAAACGAATATAAAACATTATTTATATAGCAAATTTGATTTTCACTTCTGTTTTGTAAAATGAGAATAATGAAATGAGCAATCAGTCATCTACAAACAAAGAATTAAATGTTATTAAAACAAAATTGTGGCTACTAGTTGATAACGGACGAATTCAACTTACAATGGCCTATCTGAAAGCAATAAACCTATATACAGAGCTCTAGAACATAGATATTATGATCTAAAAGACCTAGCAACAAACCTGGCTAGACCTGGCACTCTTTGGCTTGCCTTGACCCTTATGCCACCAACTCCAACCAACCAACAACAAGATTGTGGCCAATAAGAGCAAATTGTTTTGATGTTTACTTTACATATTTATTTATTGAAAAGAGAATTTCAAAAAGAATTAAAAGAAATTAATGAATTGAAAGAATATTTGTAGAGCAAGACAAACATGGCAGCTTTCTTATCAACATAATTTTTATACTCTGCTTTCTGTTTTTTGTGAGTGATTTGCTCTATATAAGAACTAAGCTTAAAGATTTGCAAACCCTAAATATGCACATTTTGGGATTGCAGTCTCCACTTAAATTATGTGAATGCATTATGTGTAATTTTAAAAACTGTTATATTTATCAAAATTACTCATGTATTTAAACAAAAAAGCACATCTATATGAAGAAAATAAATTGTGTGTTAATTTTCAAATGGTGTAAAGTGAAAAGACAAAGATTTGATTGTTGAGATAATTTTTTTTAATATACTTAACAGTCATACAGTTAGCACTCTTAAGTGAAATATTGTTCATATACTTATAAAAATTACAAATTTAATCCCATTTTTGTTGAAAGGCTTTAAAAATCTTTCATTTTTTACTTGCTGATTTCATCCCATTTCTATTTGTTACTGAAATGATTTTGATAGCTACATTTGAAAGTACTGATGACAGCAAATGTAAGTTATCTTCACACACTAAAACATAGCCTCCAATATTTTTGTACTTGCAAATTATTCTCCTTATAACATTTATATCATACTATAAAAGTTAGGAATATAACTGAGTACTATATACAACAGGTATACCTTATTTTTATATCCAATCTAAACCTGACAATAAGAAATTTTTCTTACTCATTGTCATTGGCCCATTCCTACACATACAGATCTACACTAATGAAAATGAGCTCTTTAGAAAAATCAGTTGTAGGGTTGGTAGTTTTACAAGTGCAGTTCTTGTTGGAGTCAAAAATCAATTAAATTGGAATTATGCTTTGAATGAATTTGTATATTTTACTTTTTATTTATAACTTGATTCCTTAAATAAATAGAATTATGCATAATATAAATGTGTTTCATACACAATTGATTTTGTAGGAGAAATAAAAAAAAAAAAAATTAAACATATAAATTTAATTTATGCAAATAATAATTTTAACTTTTGTTTGTTTGATATTGTCTGGATAGTGATATTGTTAAGTTCGATATTGATTATTATTTGGAAGCAATTTTTTTTTTTTGTGTATTTCTGCCAAGAGCATAATAACAATAAAAAGTTTTTTCATTAAGTTTTGTGTCCTTTCCCATCCATGCATCATGCTTCTTGTAGTTGATTATTGCATGTACAGCAGAGCACATACAGGTTAAGCATGCAATCTATTGATTCACTTTTAGAAATTTTAAATAAATCATTTAAAACTTTATTCTATTATATCTTTTTATAATTTTTACATTTTATATGATTATATTATTCTAAAATTTAAGATATAAAATGTTATTATTAGTATTGATAATATGATGGCATTTAAATGTGTTATGTAATTTAACAAATTGAAATAAACAAAGTTTTTATGATAAATGATTTAAAAATAGTAAATTTTAACAGAGTTTTGCAAGAAAATAAAAGAAAATAGTTATTAGATAAACATCCTTTGTTTTTTATTCAATATTCATTTCCAGAGGCTTCTTAATTAATTTCTTAATTTTCAAACTGAAAAATGAGTATAAATCCTGATAAAGAAGTTTATTTATCAGATTTACACAATACTTGAATATTACACAAATTTTAAATCAAAAATGCATAATATTCAAGTATATGTCCATATCTGAATTATCTCAAGTACCTAAAGTATCAAAACATTTGTAATCCAGATGTAAAAGCTTTACTAACAGTTCTGCTCTATTCTATACTGATAACTCATTTCCAATTTTGATCATTTGATGCTGATGGCAAAACTAATTTTAGATTAACAGTATCAGTTTCTTTTTATTGGTATTGTTCACATCTGTTAGAGTTTTCTCGTTATTAACATTTATCATATTTTCATTCTGTTCCTTTGATCGTCCTTTAATGGTAGCCACTATAAGTAAGCCGTTTTATATCTTTTAAACTGTCTAGTAAAAGGTCTAATTTAGAAAAGTATGAAAAGAGATTTTATAATTTAAGGAAACACAATTATTTTCTTTTTTTTTTTTTGCAAATGTTAGTTAAGGTTATGAAAATTGGTGTCAGGTCTTGAAATTTTTTCTTCTTTCGGATATTTTAGTCATGTTTCAGGAAAAGTCTTTAAGAATTGTATTTGTATAAATAAATAAGTAGACACTAATATTTTTCTAATATAGAAATTAAGTAAGTAATGATATACTCTCAAACATAATTGTGAGATTAGCAGTGGGTCACCGGTTAATCCCCAAATGACCACTTACTCTGCACAGGCTGGTAAAACCCAATCTTGGGGTCGTTGAATGGCTAGGAGGGCAAATCGAGTGGGGAGTGCGTCGGTAAGTCGGCAGGTGTCCTTAAATGATAGGAGACAGGTTCAACCAAATAACAAAGCATTTATTATGTAACTCAATAGTAAATACACAAGGCGATAACAATATATAGGTTAAATGCAGTTAAATACAACTAAGAGTAATGTGGCTAACATAAGTTCACTGTACCCAAAAGGGAAGCACTAATAGCTTTAACGGCTAGTCTGAGAGAGAGAGTTCTCAAGCTCTAAAACAATGCAAATACTTCAATGCGGATATAACTATCACGCATTTGATGAATATGTTCCTTAATGGAAAGTTCTGTTGTATGTCCTGTCGATCCAGCATATGGAGACAAAATGCACAGTTACAAGTATACTTCCGAGAGATCATGCTGAGCTTCCAGGGATTCGAGCTTTTATATTATTCGTGTGGGAAAACTGACACGTGATTGACTTTTGTTGACGATGATGGTGCATTCTTCACACCTAAGTGTAAACTTTCCCAGCTAGTTGTTATACAATTGGTGAAATCCGATCTAGTTCAAATTCTTCGGGTTTTTTCTGATGATATTTACAATTACTAGAAAATTTAGATTTTTAAGAGTCCCGTAAAAATCCACGGGCTCACATCATTGTAGCTCAGAAAGCAAAATAAAAGGTTTACTTTCATAAAGTTTTAAAAGTGTGTAAGTCATTAGAAGTCCGAAATTTTTTTAAAAAGAATAAATAAACTGGTAAATTATTGGCAAAAATTTGTTGAATTAGATTATTATTGGGCTGCAATTTGAAAAAATTGTAGACCTCTAAATTTTCACTGTTGTCTGACTGTCTCTCTGTCTTTCCTTAATCTAGAGAACAGAGTTAGAAGTTTAAGACTAAATTTAATAAATGAAATTTAAGACTAGGTATGGAAAGCTTAGGTGCAGGAGGCCCCAATTAACTATTTTCAAACTTCCAATGCAAACTAGAAGTCACATTATTTCAGTTCAAAAATTTTCCTCTGAAAAGAGTTAGATAGATGACCAGCACAACTTTATTACTAAGAGAAAAGTATTATGTACAGGAGCAAGGTACTACTGTACAGTACTAATTTGAGATGGAGAGCATATATTTTAAATTAAATAAATTAAAAATATGATTAAAAATTGCAATGTCACAATGAATAATTATAAATTAAAATACTATTGTATTGTTTCATTTTTATTAATAAATTTCTATCAAATTTGAGTTTATTGGTTTTGAAGATCAACTGTTTTATATGCAACAATCTGATATTTTTTTGTATAATGTAGAATATTTATTAAAATAATATAATTGTAGAATAGAAATCTATAATGCTCTTTCTGGTAGTCAAATGTTTTATTATGTGAAATTTTTGGCCTTTTTTTTTTTGGCTGTTTTATATAAAAACAATATATTTTTATGTAAAATATTAAATTTAAAAACTTTATATATTACTAGGTTACTGGATATGATTTTAAAGCTGATATTTGGAGTTTTGGAATCACTGCCATTGAATTAGTTACTGGAACTGCACCTTATCATAAGTATCCACCAATGAAGGTATGTAAATTAAATTTATCAAATTTCATATGGTTTTAAAAATCTTATTAAAACATAATAAAAGTAAAAAAATTACGTGTATTTAAATCAATAAAAAATGCTGGATTTTACAAATGAAATTATGGATAACTTCATATTTATGTGAGTTGATTAATTACATAATTAAACGTTAAAGTGAGTTTAGATTTATATCTAATATCTTGTTTTAATATACCTGAAATATTGGATCTGTATCTTGTCTGATTTATATACATACATCAAAGAAAATGTGAAATTTTTTAATAATAATTAGTAATTTTTTAATTTATTAAATAGATAATTCAAATACATAATGGTAAATTTATGAGAGACTAATAATTAATTGCTTATAAATTTTAAATGAACTTTCCATTGCCATTGAATACATGAGTTACAAAGCACCATATTTATTCATTAAAGTTTACAAACTGCAATAGTCTATTGTAACAATTTACATTTTAAAATTCTTTTTTACTTTGATTTTACACAGTTGACATACCTTAAGTCAGTGGTCCCCAACCTTTTTATCACCGCGGACTGGTCAACATTTGATAACTTTACTGCGGCCCACTGAGGGGGGGCATTGATTGTTCATATTTTAGATTGATTTAATTTAATAATTTTAATTTAACTGTATTTAAACATACCTTCAAAATAAAATACAGTTACACCAAAGAATGAATATAATGTGATTTAACATTTTAACTCACTAGAACACTAAATCAATGAGAACCCTGAGCTTGTTTCTTTGCAACGAGACAGTTCCATCTGGGGGTAATAGGAGACAATGACACCTGAAGTGTGTTTCTTATGTCCAGTTTGTTCCGTTGTTCCATCGTCTATTAAAAGTTGCACAAACCTGAGACAAATACACCATAGTAAATAAAATGGAAATAATTTAATGTTCCTTGGGTGGCCTGGTACCATTTGATCCACGGACCAGTACCGGTCCACAGCCTGGGGGTTGGGGACCACTGCCTTAAGTGACTGAGTGCACTTTATACAAATTACATATTCTCTAACAAAGTTTTATTTATTTATTGTTATTTTTAAATTATTATAAAATAGGTTAGTTTTATAGATTTTTTTTATACTTTCAACAATACAGTAGAGCGTCAATTTTCCGAATCAATTGGGGACTGGGGTTGTTCGTATAACTGATATTTCGGATAACCGATTTATGTACGAAAAAATAGTTTAACATATCCGACGTTGAAATTTTTCTCCGTTGCATGTCGCTTCGCGTTGAATTTTCGTCGATGTTAAGCCTAACGAAGACTATTGTATCGTAAAAAATTATTTTTTTATTTTGTACAAACAAAATAAATATATTGAAAAATATAAAAACAATAAAAAATTATACTTCAGATGTTAATTTAGTATCAAAAACGTAAAATATTTGAGTAGCCGAAGACATAGACAAAGATTGAAGCGCCACAGCACTGGCGAAAATTTAAATTTGCCGACTGGAATTCTTTCGGATGATTGACTTTCGGAAAATCGACGCTCTACTGTAGTATAAATTATATTCTTAATCAATTATTATTAAGATATGTATTTACAGTAAAGTGTCATTTTCGAGATTGATTAATTACCAACATATAAATTTATTGTTGTAAAAGAAAAAAAAAGTAAATTGTAAACTTTTGGTCAACTTCATTTTAATTTACTGCTTTCAGCATATGCTGAAAACATATTTTGTGAAAGAGAATTACATAAATATATTATAAAATCATATATTTTATAACTAAAGTTGTTAATATTTATTGATGTTGGCATTATTATCATCAATACTTGTCATAAATTATCTTATATTGAGCATCCCTGCCATTTCATAACTTATAATAATGTTTTTGTTAAAACTTTTGATACCTTTTAAGTATTGAATTATTTTATATGATATTTTTTTTTATAATTTATACACATTTTATTTAACTATTAAAATTTTAATATTGTTGCAAAAAGATACTTGTATATACTATTTGAGATTTCCAAGATATTAACAGACATAAATAAATGCTCATATTAAATAATCAAGATTTTTCTTGAATATCAATCAGTATCACTTGCTAATTATTTATATGCAAGTTCAGAAAATGCTTGAATTTTCATTTTTATATTTGTAGGTACTTATGCTAACACTACAAAATGACCCACCAACTATAGATTCTGTTGCAGATGAAAAGGATCAATATAAAAATTATGGAAAATCCATAAGAAAAATGATAACTGATTGTTTACAAAAAGATCCTACAAAAAGGTGAAGATTGCAGTTTCATATTTTATATACAAACAGTTAATAATTAATATGTAGATAAATATTAATCCTTTCATTAGTAATATAAATTACTTTAAGTTTCTGAAACATTATTATTAAGTATAGATATTAAAGTAAAAATAAGAGAAATTTTTGCATGCTTTTCTTATTTGAAAAAAAGAATTCCAATCAACTCCTGATTTAGACAGGCAGATTTACTGTGGTTGGTGATGGCAGGAACATACAAGGTCTGTTCAAAAAGTATCGGACCTTTGGTCGGCAAAAATAAATTTATTGACTTTGAGGTACAAAACCNTGTGAAAATAAAGATATTTTGTTTTGACTTTTTAAGTAAGATCTCTATTTGCTAATCAGAAACCATACCAGTCCTATTATTAAACAAGGTCCAAGTAATTTAAAGGATGTTTCAAATAAAGATCATTCGAGTATTGGATCTTCTGATACTTACTCGTCACTGGATAACAATCCAACTACACCAGCTGTTCAAGAAAATCATACATCTCAGCATACAAATGCTGTTCCATCAGGTGATTCGTTTTCTGCAGTTCTTCCCACTCAAGATCACGTACCACAAGTTCCACCACTTCAACCTATGCAACCACCACCTCAGCAGGTATTTGAATTTTTTTTAATCTAATCAATGTTTTTTTTTTTTTTTACTATATTTACTAACTCCACTGACTTTGTTTTGTGCACAGATTTTATTAAATATTTAATAAAATGAAATTTTAGGCTAATTTTTTTAAAAGGGAATAATATATTTCTACCACCAAAAATTGCCATCTTATAATTGTATGCACTGTAAACATTTCTTGTAATTACCAATTACTTAAAATATTTACAATTTAATTGATCATAACTCTAATTCTAATGATCACTTCTTGGAATATTAACACATATATAATTTGAATTGTCTACAAGAACTTATTTATTTCTACGACTTATTATACTGTTGACCTGGTTCAGTCTTTATTTTTTCACCTGGTGAAAAATAAAGACTGTTTTTCTGAATTGTTTTCTTAACTTGCAGAATCAGATCACTGGTAAAATAAATCCTAGAAATAAATAAGTCCTTGTAGACAATTTAAGTACAAAGCTATAAAATAAGGACACAAAGGCAAAACATTTGATATATATATATATATAATTTTAATTGACAATTGATTATTCAAGCAATATTCAACAAAATAGTGAAAATTTTATTTTAAAAATTATATTGAATACATTGGAAGGTGTAATTATATGTTATTGCAGCATTCATAAGTAGCATTTAAATATTTTTCTAATTCTTGTGTTTGTTATCTGAACAATCTCAACAAATTCAAATTTAAGATCATAAAAACAGTTCAGAATTTAAACGAAAAATTATTTTTTTAAAATGATGATTATGTTATGCTACGTTTCAGAGAGAGTTTTATCAAAAAATATAAATTTGGCAAATGATAATTCCTTGTGACAATGAGAGTGATGATCAGTCATTTCAGTAACATGGTAAAAAAATAGATTGAAATAATAAATATAATAATAATTAACCAAAGCATGCTTAAAGTGAATAAAAATGTTAAAGAATGACATTATAGGGAATAATACAAATTACCATGTTTTCAAGTAGAATTGGTGAAAATAATCATTTATAAATTCTGGAAAAATATATATTAATGAAATTTTAACAATGTAGTAATGATATATGAATTCCATAATAATTGAATTTAATATATTAGTGTATTGTTCTTGTCAATCCACTCAGAATAATATCTTAGAGAGCATAAATATATAAGATTACAGATAAAAATGTTAATTTTTCTTAAATGAACTAGATTGAAAATATACAGATGTCACTCAACTGCCAAAGAACTTTGAATATGTGTAATACATACAATATTCTTCTATTTATAAATTTTAGAAAATAGACATATCTGTCAATAGTTCTTTAATTAATAGTAAAAAATTTTTAAATATTTTTTCTAGGTACCTGTAGATAATTTACAATCAAATCTAGCTAATCAAGCTCTTAATCTAGTCTTAAGGATAAGGTAAGTTCATATTCTGTTTTTATTGATTTAATATGAAATTGTAAATTTTTTATATAGGCATTTAAAATACTATTTAATAAGTTTAATATTTGTTATATTGTAGTTTAAAATAGCAATTTATACTTATTATGGGTAATGAATAATAATAATCTACAAATTTTGGGTTTAAATAAAAGTGCAACATTTGAAAATGGTTATAATTTACATGTTACCTTCTCATCATGCTTATATAAATGACTCCTGCATATCAGTATCAGTTTTCTTATGTATGTATGTATGTATGTATGTATGTATATATATATTATAGTAAATACTATTTTATAANCGCTTTCTGCAGGCGGGAAAAAATTCAGGGCTGTGCATGACTGTCCCCTCCACAACTCCACCGAAGGAGGCCTCTCTCGCATCATTGGTTTACGCGGAAAAAAATAAGGTCCGATACTTTTTGAACAGACCTTGTACACACACATACATCATATTATTTTTAATAATGCATATCTAATTGTGAAATTTAGTTAAGTGTTCATTTTTTTTAGGATAACTTACTGTACTTTTTGTATTTCTATAGTTGTGTAACATAATTAATGTACAATTTATTAGTGTAATTGTAATTTTCATTTAAAATCCTATCATGTGCTTTTTTAAATGAGTAAAGCCTTTGTGATTGTAATGAGCTATATTTTTCATATTATATTGTGCACATAGTTATTTCAAGTTATTTGTGGATTTACTTTGAAATTCAAAATACTATAGTCTGCAAGCTCTTCATTGCCCCGCTGAATCAGGAGTTGACTATATTTAGATATCATGAGCAACATCTTATAAGAATTAAACTAAACAAATTGTCCCAAAAATAAAGTTATATTTAATAGTGTTAAATGATTAATTCTAAATTATTTTTAAATATAGGCCTACAGCAGTAGAATTATTGAAACATCCATTTTTTAAAAAATCTAAGGTAAGAATGGGGAAATTTTTTAAAACTTTTATGATTAAAATTATCTTTAAAAAGAAGTATTGTTGAGGAACATACAAAATGTCATAAACACAGTTAAATAAATTTATATCAACAAACTAAATGTCACTTTTTACTGACTTCATTTAATTCAATAAGAAACATAAACATTATTCTTTTTTTATGAAATCTTAAAAATTTTATTTTGAAAGTTTGTTTGTAGAATTTCATAAAATAAATGTATGTTTTAAACTTTAGAAAGGATTTATAGAAAAAAAATCAAAACTTATAAATTCTTATTTTAGAAAACAAATCTTGATAAATCATTAAGATTTTTTTGACATGTTTAATTTTCAAATAAAACTTCTGCAGTTTAAGAAAGATTTTTAAATTAAAATAGTCAAATTGTTGTTTCTTGTTGTCTAATGGCATTCTAATCTGTCTTTTTCTTTATTTAAATTCTCAAGTTATCATTTTTTATGTAAAATTTTCATTTTCCTTATATGCTGACTTAAATATAGTTGTTTAGAAATAGCTAAAAGGATTATATTCTATTCTTTTGAATGACTTTCCAAATAACTATTATGTTGTTTGTTAATGTTATCAGTAACTTGACATATTTTAGATCTTTTTTGTTTTCGTTTAATTTCACTTTTATTTTATTCTGTTACTTATAACTACAGAAAGATTCTTCTATTGATTTATTAAAGTGTATCTAGTAAACTATATCTAAACATTTCAGTAAAGCTACTCGTATACAGTCGACCCCCCTATAAGATATAGATACGTTCCAATTTATTAGGAATCCGATTTCTTACAAGTCGTTCCAATCACAGCCCGACACGTGTCAAGTTTACGGACTACGGCTGATTGAAAGGTTTTCTTCCATAAAATTAATCGATTCTACACTAATCCGACTCAACATTTCCAAAATACGTATATTTTTCGTAGTTTTATAGGAATTGTAATTATAGGGACCGTAATTATAGGGGGGTCGACTGTATCTAAAAAGTAAAATGGTTATCATTACTTACAGTTTTCTGTGATCTTTATTATTGTTTATTGTTTTTTAATTTAGAAACTTATATTCTTCAATTTTACTTAGATAAACTTGTATTAGTTTTTAAAATTATTACTACTTTGCATTTTAATTGATGTGAGACAATTGAAAAGTTGTCATAATAGTAAGATAATCTTTTGATTTGGCATTTTTTTTAATTGTTTCTAATCAATGAAAACTGAAATAAGTTATATATTAATAAATAAAAATTACAATGACTCAGGTCTATAAATCTTTTAATACCTAGTTTTTGAATCTTTTCAATACATTTGTAAGTATTCAGTAATTCTAGTAATAGGGCTGTAGATGTGCAAAAAGTATGTAAAAACTTATTTCTATGAATAAGCTGTTGAAAATTTATTTGTTGTTAAATACTTAATAATTATTAAAACTATATGAATGACAAAAGTCAATAATAAGTGTATATATCTGTTCTGTTTATCATTGTCAGGGATCTTATATTATTATAATAGGGACATATTTTTAATATTTGAGTATATAATATAAATGAAGATTTTTGACTTTTTAAAATATTAAAAGAATGAAAGTTAAACTAATTTTTTTGTGTGTTTATGTGACAATTGAAAATTAGAATTGTTTATAATCATTACTTCAAAATTGGGGTTTTTTTTTTTTAACCTTTTTAATTTTAGGACATTTTTGTTTAAACTCAATTTTCTTGATTTTATTTTATTTTGAAACACATTATAACAGGCATTTCAGAATATCATAATAATTAGTATCACTGGGAAAATCATTGATTGATAAAATTAAATGGCATTTTAAAAATTTTTATTTAATGTTTGTAAAATAATTTTTAATATCATCTATTAAAATAAATATAAATTTTATTTAATATTAGGATAAAAAGTTTTTGGTGCAGACTTTATTGACATGTGCACCATCTATGGAAGTCAGAGCACAGAAGGTAATTATATATATAAATTTTTTGCATTGTAGTAATTAAAGATATTTTAAAAGACAAAATGTTAATAGTTTGCTAAAATTTTACAAAAATTAACTTGTAGTGTATAATTATTGTAATAAAATATGTTGAATTCATTTTACATTATAATTAGGACTTTTTTTATATTATTCATTTTGCTGTATAGGTGAACACGTTTAGCCAAAAATGTTATCAAAGATCTAATTTTGGATATCTATTCTGTATAGCTCAAAAATGCTAAAAGGCCACCCGGAACCAGTGGCCGTCTACATAGGACAGAAACTGGAGATTGGGTATGGTCTTCTGATGAAGAAGATGAACCATTTGACTTAAAGGTAATTAAATATTTTCTAAATTGAGAATATATATATTTTTTTTACCTGTAAAACCTCATAAAATATATTAAAAAATAATTTATAATAAATTTTTGTATTAAAACAATGTTTTGATTATTTTAATCATGGTGCTTTTTTTTATAATGTTTAATATAATTAATCTTACATAATTTATTTCAAAAAATGTTATACCAAATTATTTCAATAATTAGTTGAAGCTGCATTATATTGAGACTAAAATTTGTAATAAAAACATTATTTTAAAAAAAAATATATATATATAGTTAAAAAGGTTTTAAATTGTCATTTTTAATGAAATTTAATGCAATTTTGTAAATTAGAATTTAGGTTTAGAATATATACAAAAAATTTTTAAGCTATTTAATTGCTAAATTGTATAAAATGTTAAATATATTTTAAGTATTTAACATTTTATACATTAATACAACATAGTTTATATGATAATAAATTTGATTTCATTTTAAGTTGTAATATTTGTATTAATGTAGAAATTATTGTTTAAAGTAAAATAAGTAAAAAATCAAGAAATAGATTTTTAATGTAGAAAATACAGTTCTGAATCATTTAATCGAAAAATTAATTTATGTTAAAATTCAAAATTGAATTTTAAAAAACTTAATTTATTTTATTATTACATTTTTTTAATTTATGAAACTTATACAATTGAGAATTTTTATATTTTAAGATTTTTTGTTAATTTTTTTTTTGTTTTTAATTTAAAGGATGTTTCAAATAAAGATCATTCGAGTATTGGATCTTCTGATACTTACTCGTCACTGGATAACAATCCAACTACACCAGCTGTTCAAGAAAATCATACATCTCAGCATACAAATGCTGTTCCATCAGGTGATTCGTTTTCTGCAGTTCTTCCCACTCAAGATCACGTACCACAAGTTCCACCACTTCAACCTATGCAACCACCACCTCAGCAGGTATTTGAATTTTTTTTAATCTAATCAATGTTTTTTTTTTTTTTTACTATATTTACTAACTCCACTGACTTTGTTTTGTGCACAGATTTTATTAAATATTTAATAAAATGAAATTTTAGGCTAATTTTTTTAAAAGGGAATAATATATTTCTACCACCAAAAATTGCCATCTTATAATTGTATGCACTGTAAACATTTCTTGTAATTACCAATTACTTAAAATATTTACAATTTAATTGATCATAACTCTAATTCTAATGATCACTTCTTGGAATATTAACACATATATAATTTGAATTGTCTACAAGAACTTATTTATTTCTACGACTTATTATACTGTTGACCTGGTTCAGTCTTTATTTTTTCACCTGGTGAAAAATAAAGACTGTTTTTCTGAATTGTTTTCTTAACTTGCAGAATCAGATCACTGGTAAAATAAATCCTAGAAATAAATAAGTCCTTGTAGACAATTTAAGTACAAAGCTATAAAATAAGGACACAAAGGCAAAACATTTGATATATATATATATATAATTTTAATTGACAATTGATTATTCAAGCAATATTCAACAAAATAGTGAAAATTTTATTTTAAAAATTATATTGAATACATTGGAAGGTGTAATTATATGTTATTGCAGCATTCATAAGTAGCATTTAAATATTTTTCTAATTCTTGTGTTTGTTATCTGAACAATCTCAACAAATTCAAATTTAAGATCATAAAAACAGTTCAGAATTTAAACGAAAAATTATTTTTTTAAAATGATGATTATGTTATGCTACGTTTCAGAGAGAGTTTTATCAAAAAATATAAATTTGGCAAATGATAATTCCTTGTGACAATGAGAGTGATGATCAGTCATTTCAGTAACATGGTAAAAAAATAGATTGAAATAATAAATATAATAATAATTAACCAAAGCATGCTTAAAGTGAATAAAAATGTTAAAGAATGACATTATAGGGAATAATACAAATTACCATGTTTTCAAGTAGAATTGGTGAAAATAATCATTTATAAATTCTGGAAAAATATATATTAATGAAATTTTAACAATGTAGTAATGATATATGAATTCCATAATAATTGAATTTAATATATTAGTGTATTGTTCTTGTCAATCCACTCAGAATAATATCTTAGAGAGCATAAATATATAAGATTACAGATAAAAATGTTAATTTTTCTTAAATGAACTAGATTGAAAATATACAGATGTCACTCAACTGCCAAAGAACTTTGAATATGTGTAATACATACAATATTCTTCTATTTATAAATTTTAGAAAATAGACATATCTGTCAATAGTTCTTTAATTAATAGTAAAAAATTTTTAAATATTTTTTCTAGGTACCTGTAGATAATTTACAATCAAATCTAGCTAATCAAGCTCTTAATCTAGTCTTAAGGATAAGGTAAGTTCATATTCTGTTTTTATTGATTTAATATGAAATTGTAAATTTTTTATATAGGCATTTAAAATACTATTTAATAAGTTTAATATTTGTTATATTGTAGTTTAAAATAGCAATTTATACTTATTATGGGTAATGAATAATAATAATCTACAAATTTTGGGTTTAAATAAAAGTGCAACATTTGAAAATGGTTATAATTTACATGTTACCTTCTCATCATGCTTATATAAATGACTCCTGCATATCAGTATCAGTTTTCTTATGTATGTATGTATGTATGTATGTATGTATATATATATTATAGTAAATACTATTTTATAATTATTTAGAATTTTTTAAAATATATATATAAATATAAAAGAAATTCTATGTACTATAATTTTTTAAAAGGACTAAAGAAATTATTTTTATGATAAATGTAACTAAAAGTTACTAGCACAATGTAGGAAAGGAACACTTTATAACTTCACAATTTACAAGTTATGAGTATAACAGACAAATATATAAACATGAAAAAATAAAATATAAAAAAGATTAAATCTAGAGAGACATTAGGCTATGTTTAATATTGATTGAAAAATTTATAATTTTTTTACAGAAGAGGTCATAAGTGGAAATCTGTGGACATTGATTAGGGCAAATAAGCTCTTCACTCAAATTAAAAGGCATACAAGAGGATGACTTTGTTGTCACAAAGACAGAAATTCTAAATTTATGTTGGCAACCGAACTTCTGTTCATATTTTAGATCATTTTCCTTTTTAATGTTCAAAACAACATTGATATGGATTAACATTTTGTGCCAAACTTTTTATATTTAGGCTATTCAGATGATTTTTGCTGGTTTTAGATTTTTTTGTGTGTGTGTGTGTGTGGTCTTTCTTTAATTCATCTATTGACTGAAAATAGAAAATGGTGTTTTGTGGTAAACAAATTACTGTATGTTCTCAGAATATTTTTGAATTGTAGAATGGCTACAGCATGATATACAGCATGAAAAGTCAAAACAAAATATTTTTATTTTTACCTGTGAAAATAAAGATATTTTGTTTTGACTTTTTAAGTAAGATCTCTATTTGCTAATCAGAAACCATACCAGTCCTATTATTAAACAAGGTCCAAGTAGACAAGGATACAAACAGAAATTATCATGCAGAAAATTAATTGCTTTGAATGAATACATAATATTCTCCCAAAGCATTTAATTTTTTGGGCAATAAATTGTCAGTAGCTTCAGTTTGCAGTCATTTTTATATGATGCAGTGATTCTAAATTATTATTGGGATTTCAATGTCCTACAGCAGCAATCTATCAGTATTGAAAATTCATTTTGCTGAACAATCATTATTTACAGAAATGTTCTATAAATGAACAAACAAGTTTTTTCCTATCTATCAGATGCAGCTTTTGTTATTGACTTTAACATTCTTGATGTTAAAATTGCAATTTTTAAAATTATACGACCATATTATATTTCTATTAATGTCTCTAACTTTCCTTTCTTAGATGTATTCAGATAAAGACATTATATTATCATACAAATTTCTGTTTAGAAAATTAATTGCAATTAGCAACTAATTTTCTAAATTTTCATTTTTTTATATAATTCTTATACTACTACATTTTTTACACACATATTAATAGTAATAATAAAAAATCATTCAATTTTAAAATAAAAAATTATTATTTAATAAAACAGTATTATGACCACTTACATTTACTACTATTCATTTTGCCCAATTTGGCATACTTAAGTACTAAAGATTTGCAAAAGAAATTAAAAAAAAAGTAAATGAATATATGTACAGGAATTTAATTATTAAAAACTTACATTTTGCATAATTATATTTTTTCCATGATTATTTATATTTTAACACTAATGACCATACAAAAAAACTTTTGGCTAATTCAATCCTTTTTCTATATTTCACCTGAGACCAACAATATAGAACATGAAAATAAAACATAAATCTTTTTTAAAATGACTGACAAGATATCATTAAAAACACAGACACATAAAACACTGGACATCAACCTTTCTTTATAGGATCTGGTGTCAGTTACTTCAAGCAGCACTAAAAAGTTTTCAATATCAGCCAAGTCCTAGTTATATTTATAGATGAAACAAACTGTAGTGTCCTCTGGTGGAAAATCAGTTAACTCAAAAATTTTTGCATAATTATATTTATATTAACGATATATTGTCGTCATTTTAAAAATTAATGTTTTATCTTCATGTTGTATATTGTTGATCTCTAATGAAATATAGAAAAAGGATTGAATTGGCCAAAAAATTTTTTATATATGGTCATTACAGTGTTAATTACACTTTGCAGTTCTGAATATAATTATACACAAAATGGTCACAAAAGTTCTTGTGCATGCTACTCAGAAAAATTTCTCTGCTTCTATGTTCTCTGCACAAATATTTTCCCATCTTTTGATATCTTGTTCCATGTTGTTGTTTTGAAATCATTAAAATAATCTCTGATAGAGATGAGACATTTTCTTTTACATATTACTCCAAACTGAATTGGTTTGATGCCACATCATACTATATTTTTCATACTGAAGCACTATCAAAAAATAAAACAAATAATTGTATCCTTTGTTAATGTCATACATAGAGACTTTATGGCCACTCTATATATGAATTTTTCAATTTTGTGTTACATATCAGTTTAGATCTTGTGCTCCAAATGTTATATATACAACAATTGATATTTTAATTTTTTGATCATCTCAAATAATTTAAGTCCAGTCAATGTAATTTTGTTAAATACTATTAATAAATAGCTGTATTTTTCCAGTTTGCATTTTTAATATTCCTTAAATGTATAAATAGAATATTTTCTTGTATAATGTACAATATATAAATAGAATATTGTATAAATGTATAAATAGAATATTATATAATTTTTTTATTAGAATTATGAAAATATGACTTAAAAATTATTATTATGATTTTAGAAATCAGAGAAGAGAATTAAATGATATAAGATTTGAATTTACACCAAACAGAGGTAAATTATTCCCTTGTTAAGTTTTTTTTATTGTAAAAATTTTTATGTTTTAATATACAGTCAAACCTTCTATATAATACAACCTTATAGAACATCATTAAAACTTGTAAACAGATCTTTGTGATAAATATTAAATGTAAATCCTTCACTAGTTGTGAATTGCTGTGTATACACAATTTATTATTAATGCAAGTGACAATGTTATTGTCAAATCATATGACTTTCAAATTCTCAAACTTGTGTGTTAATCTCATTAAGATAATTCTTGTTATTTGAGTTAGTGATAGGAAAATCATTTCCATGAATAGCTTGAACAACTCAGTTATTACAAATGGTTTGCTTATGATAATTTTACTCAAGTAACAATCACTCAAGTGATAGTTTGAGTGATTGCTCATTCATTTTTAAATACAGCTCTCCCTTGATAGTCCGACGTGCTCAGTAGTCTGACACACCTCCCGTCAAGGTACCCATCCTCATTACGTGTCTGCTTGCACAGAAGCATGTTGCGACGTGAATCTCCTCATCCAATTCTTACACGATGACACACATTTTGTGTGTTTTCTGTGAGCAGTTCTGTTCGAACAGTTGAAGTATGGAATATTGTAAGCTCCTGCTAGCAAAACAATGCAAAATATGTAATTATTTTCAGTAATTCGGACACTTTTGGTAATCCAACACCCCTTTGGTCCCATACTGTCAGACTATTAAGGGAGAGCTGTAGTAATTAACTAAATAACTTGTTTGGTTGTATTTTATAGTAGATGTCAAGTTAGAATTAATAGACTTTTTTTATAATGTGAATTGCCATTCCATACTCAATAACTTCTGTTTTATATAAAATGGTGTTACTGCCATTCAAGTAATAATTACCCACTTATTGAAATCATTCCATTACTAATCACTTGATTATCAAAATTATTCAACCAACCCCAATGCTAGTTTGAAGTTCTTTAGTGTAACATCATATTCAGTTTAGTGCCTTTTAGAAGTAGACAAATGCTGGTATCAAATTAAGGTTTGACTCATTATTTGCATTCAAAATAATATGCAGTTTTATTCAAATTATTTTGTTCTTCAGATACATCAGATGGTATAGCTGCCGAATTAGTAGGAGCAGGATTAGTCGACGGGAAAGATATTATTGTAGGTAAGTCTGAACGCTCCTTTATTTTGAAAAATTTGAAAATTTACATTTACTTGTATTTGAATGTTGTTTTTTATTAGTTATTTACTCTGAAAATTTAGAAAACTTTTTCATAATGTTTTTATATGAAAGTTAATATAAAGATCTGTTTCATGTTCTTTATTTCTTTTTTATTTTATGCTAATTCCTTCTAATGGAATAATAATAATAAATACACCATTAAACTTACACAATACAGATCTGGATTTTATGCAGTACAGAAAACTCAGAGACACCATCAGGCAGTTTTGGGCTTGAAATGCCCTCCACAGTAAGCATCTAACTACCTCAGCCAGGATTGTTTATAGAATTGTGTCAAAGTGTTGGCTGAATCTTGGATAGATGGAAAGGTTTGGGTTTGCCATACAAGATCAGGTCGTAAATACATAAAACTACAGAAAGCACATCTTAAAAGACACAATATTGTACTTACAGATAACATTTGTGTTGTAAAGTTGGCATTTCCTACATCATATTGGGTTGCAAGCTTTTAACACAGACTGACTACTTATGTCAACTTAACCAAATAGCAAGCTCAATACATCAAAGCTTGTTTAAACACAAACTTCTACATGCTCAGAAACCATATTACAAATACACACCTCAGACGGTCATAGACAACATCGTACAATGTATAATGTATACTATGACTATCATAATAACAGACAAAACAACTCGTTACAACAGGCCAGGCATCACATTTATTGACAAACCGAAAATTACATACACCATAGACATAGCTCTATCAGACATCCACAATATACAAAATAGAAATATGTGGAGAATGGATAAGATACTTTTGTGCCAATAGTCCTTTTTTGCACAGGTGTCATACCATATTGCAAAGGTTTCAAAATAATATATTTCAGAAAGTAATAATTACTTAATCAAAATCAATAAAACAAATATTAGCAATATTTTAACTTTTAAGCATCACACCTCATATCAATCATTTATATTGTATAACACTAAAGATTAGCAATTCAATAAATTCTATAAATCATCATTTATTTTAATTTAAATTATTGTTTATTGTTTACAACAGAAATGTTTAAAAAGACATTCTTTTAGAGTTATCATTATATCTGATATAACAATATATCACCAATATTATTCCTGTAAATTATGTTTGCAATAAATATGTTATGTCAGATAGATAATATCTGTCTATTTAAACATTTCTGTTGTAAACAATAAACAATAATTTAAATTTAAATAAATGGTGGTTTATAGAATTTATTGAAGTGCTAATCTTCAGTATATTATTTTAGATGTAATAAGACATGCAATGATCATATTTTATTGTTTTTTTAGTGAATAATAACACTTATTTTTATTTGTGCTAACCATTTTTTTAATCACTTTCCTCATTGTTGTTTGTACATTTTCAAACTTTTAAAATAAAAAATAATTATATTTGTAAATTAAAACGTACTTTCTCTTATATTTCGAGTCAATATATTATGAGGATTTGCGAATGTTAACAGTAATATATCAGTACATAACTTATATCAAACAATTTTCTGAGGTTTGTCTGCAGATTTGATTCTTAATTAACGGATCTCTTTTCATATAACTAACAAAATGTTTTTCAACATGTATACAAATAAATGATGTAGACATTACTTTAATATGTTTGAAATTTTATTCACTTTTAATAATTATTCGATTTTAATTCCTTACAGTTGCAGCTAATCTTCAAAAATTGATTGATAACACCGCTTTGAAAGCAATTACTTTTGCATTGGTAAGTCGTACTGAAATATTTTTGTGTAATTTATTGCGTTTAAGTTCGGTAAAATTTAATATTTCGGTGACAATTTAGGTGTAAAATTCAAATTAAAAGTGCATAAATTTTAATTAATTCTAATCGAAATTCTTGTTTTCGTGAACATTGGTACATTAACGAAACGAAAACATTTTGTCGTGGCTTTACGAAAATTCGATGTAAACACTCGATTCTGCAACGAATTCGGACCGATATTTATTTTGTATTTAACAAGGAAATTGACATTTGCGTCGTTATTTTTGTAGAATCCCGGATCGAATCCCAGCGAAGTGCCAGACGACAAAGCGCTGATAGGATTCGCTCAACTGTCACTAACAGATTAGAAGTGCCATGTCGTTCACGTGTGATAACATTCGTACGATTCCCCATCGGGAAATTTCGTTCGGTGCCTCTAGATCAAAAACAAAAAGGAAAACAAACAAAAAAGAAAAAAAAAAAGATCGGAGGAGGCGACCGAACCGGAGAATTTGTCACTATGGCCGCTTTCGCTTTCTCCAAATGGTTTTTCTAAACGTCGTGGTTACTTTCCCGGACGATCGGGATCCTTTTCTTTCGTTCTAAAAGATATTCCAAGCCGTAGAGACGTTCGTTTCGTTAGATATTTAAACACCCGATCGTTCCGTGCCTTCAAAATATTACAAAAAAAAAGAAAAAAAACGAGTTTCCCGAGGGATAGACGTCGTATTACGTAGATAATAGGCAACGGTTTCTGCAAAGTTTTGTAAATATATTCCGTTCACGTTAGAGAAGTGTCTTAGAAGTTTTTTCCGAAACGATTCCGTTAGTAGTTATTTTTTTAAAAATGGTACGTAACGGAAAATATCCGGACCAAACCAGACACGCATCGCTTCCTCTTTCTGATTGACGTCGGTTACCGTGGTCCAACGTGGTTAAATGCAAAAAAAAAAATACAAAAAAAAACAAAAAAAAAATATGCTCGAAAGTAGCGACGTAATAAATTCTAAATCCGTGCACTTTTCCGAATATGTTTTTTGTATTTGTTTTTATTTTCAAATGGACGACGTCGCAGCTGAGAACAAGTCGCGTAACTAGCAATAAATTAGCAACCTCGTTTTACTAATCGACGTCGGTTACGCTATGCAATCGGTAACGGACGGTTGTTGTTATTTTTTTTTTAACTTAATTATGTTTTCGCATGGAATTTGCCAACTTATCGAAACGTATGTTTATGCAGTATTAAGTAAATTATATGTGAATAATAATAAAAACAAATGTCTCTGGAAACAAAGCCAAATCTATTTATTATTAAACGAGAATCTTAAATTCACTTTCGCTGTTTCACGCCGTGAAAAATTGGTTTTTCGTTAGCGAATCGACCAATAGATAGATGAAGATGATGGATAATTCGAAATAAATCTTAGTTAATAAAAAAAACACGATGACTGAACAATTTCTTTTGTACATTTCATGAAATTTTTACTTTAATATTTAATAAATTATTACGTTTATATGTTAAATGTCTGCACCCATCTGTTTGATGAAATTCCCGGAAGATTGGTTTGCTAGAAGGTGCCGTTTTACAAATCACTTCCCTTTTGGTGTTTATTGAATTGGGAGACAAAACATTGAAAATTCGATAATTTGTTAATATTATTTAGAAAAATTTATATATAAATCGGCATTGGTCATCTAAATTCTCGTTTAAAGCCGCCTACTATTAAAAAAATGTATGATTTCTACAACTTTTTTCAATATTGAAAATTATTTTTAGAACCATTCCAATCATCTAAATAAAATGTTTGTAAAAACCGTAAAGCACAATTTATCTCAATTTTTTTAGAAATAGAAAATAATATTTCTTTCTTATATATATATTAGGGTTTCTCGTTTCCCTGTCTTTTGCTTGTCCCGGGATCCAGGGATAGAATTAATTATTTTTAAGATATACAAAATGTCTTGAAATCAAATGATATAATTATTTTTCATTTTTTAAAGTAATTTAAGTACTGTAATTTAATACGTTCTGTAACGTCCTGCTGTGTAAGATATATATTAAAAATTACCTTTGAATTACGTGGAAATTTTCACAAATAGAAAAAAATTTATTAAAGTTTGCTGGAAACTGCAAACAACAACAACAACAAAAATTCTTTGAATTGAGTTAAAAATGAAAAAAATGAACTTAGATCAAACTTCTAACTTAGAAGGTAATTTTCGTTTTTTAAATAGAATATAATACAAAATATTGTAAATTTTTTTAAGATTTTAAAAAGCAAAAATGGTCAATACTCCGATCACTCAATCTAATTCATATTTTCTTAATGAAAAGTCTTGCTACCGAGAATGCCCTTTCCGATTCAATTGATGTGATTGGAATCGTGTTTAATGCATTTAAGAGAAAACGGATATTATTTGTTTTTTCACGTGTAGCTTGGAAGATTTCTAGTTCGTTTTCGAGATTGTAGTACTTCTTTCGCTCTCTAGTATTCTTGATTTGTCTTCCTTGGTTGCTATAATAGAAACATCATAGCCCAATAATTCGGCAGTTCGTTTGTCTTTAATAATCAGGTTATGAAGAAAAACTTCGTACTCGTTTGTATCCTTGCCCAATTTACACAACCTGGCGTTACGCAGTTATTGAAGCTACTGGGCATGGTTAAAAATTAAGACAGCATAAGCACAATTATTCAGATATTACAGGTGAAGAATTTTCAGTCTTGCCACAAATAAGCTACGTATTGATTATTGACCATTTGTGACATGCCATAACGAGCAAAAATTAAAAAAACTAAGTAGGTTTACAATAATAAATACAAATGTATTCTGACAATTTGAGTTAATTATATTTTCTATTTGTAAAATTTCCTCAACCTTAACACAAAATAAGAAAAGAGGGAATTTTTAAGAAATTTGCGGGATTTCCTGGGTTAAAAAAAAACCAGGATTTCGAGATCCTATTTGAGTAACCCTAAGATATATATTATTATTATGCATATTAAGCACTATCGGAATCGGTTTCATCTACGAATGACATATATTCTGCCCATGGTACAAGTTGGCGTGGAAGTGGCGCCATTATTTTTCTCCCGCTTCGAAGATATAATCCGGGATATAAGTTCTTACAACTCATTTTGATTTAAAAGGTTATAGTAATCTGCATATATTTCGACAGTAGTTATATATTTATTAAATACTTTACTAATTAGTTTCGCGTTTATAGTTGTTTCGAACGAAAATTATTCATATTCGGGCGAGGATAATGGCGGCACATCCGATTCCGTTTTAGTGCAGTTTTATTTTAAAAAGTAAAGTAAATTTGTAAAAATTTATGTGCGAGACGGATATTTAAAGCCTAATTTTTTTTAAACTTTTGTGGATACTACCAACGTTTGGATCATGCCGTACCATTCATAATATAAATCTAAAAGCATGCTTTGAATACACGTGGAAACATTATTAAATTGGAAGTAAACTATTAAAAGTGAATTGTCATTAGACAAAGTTTTAATCTTTATTAATTTAAGTCTGCCTGCGGACCAGAGTGAATATGATTTTATTTTCGACATTGCTCACAAATTACCCAAGTTTGAAATATTTACATTCGTATTTTAAATTGATAATTCTAAAAATATTAACATACAATTAAGTTGTTTACAGTACAATAAGATGTTTAAAAATTGGTAACGAAAACATACATTCCCTTCATATTGCAATGTTGGTTGTAATATAGACTACGTAATAAAAATAATAAATTTTTGTCACTTAATTTAACTGAAGCGCATTTAAACACGAATTCTTGAATGCCATTTATATCGAATGTCGATTAACGCGGTTTTTATTAATTTGATTTAAATTCAACTGTGGCGTGTAAATGCTGTTATACACGTTATGGAAATCCTTTGAGGATTAACCGTGATTTTTTTTCTATCTATCCACCTTTAAATAAAAATAATTATACGTTGGGAAATATTTTAATAAGTTTTGTAAATTACTATGTTTGATCCAGCCAGTTATACAGTAGAGCGTCGTTTATCCGAAACGTCTGTTATCCGAAAGCATTCCAGTCGGCAAATTTAAATTTTAGCTAGTGCTGTGGCGCTGCAATCTTCGGCTATTTCTTGGGCTACTCAAATATTTTATACCCCAGTCCCCAATTGATTCGGATAAACGACGCTCTACTGTATCCGATTTTTTTTCGTCTGTTAAGTACATCCTTTGAGGCAGTGCCGGCCCGAGACAAGTTTTAGAATGGAGCGAGATCCTATTATGGCGCCTCCCTTGGTTGCCCTTAATTTATACCCTTTAATTTTCTTTACCACTGAGGCGCCCCCTAGGACTTAGCGCCTGGAGTGGCTGCTCCGTTCGCCCTATGGTAGGGCCGGCTCTGCTTTGAGGATTTCCGTAACTTGTATAACAGCCTTAAATTAACGAAAAACGGAAATAATATCTTTCTCGCATGCGCTTTGAAATGTAATTTAAATAACAATGTATCGATGATTCGTTGCATGACGCGAGACTATCTCGGTACCACTAACTTGTGAATCGGTAGTCCTATCGTCGATTGATCGGGCCGTCGAATTTATTTGAACAAAGGAAGTATAGGGAGCTGACCCTCTGTGGATGTGTCTTGCCGAGTTCGGAATTATTGTACGGCAGTCGGAACGAATATGGCATTCAAAATTTTGTTCGTAAACAGGGGCGTTCGTAATCCGAGGTTTGACTGTATTGTTATTCGATGTCTAATTTTCGGCACGGATAAACATTTGTTCGCGTGCCATATAGTTAACATATTTAGTGTGTTTTACTATATGGTATGCGAACTCGAAAAAGTTTGCCATTCCTGGTCTAGCTCCTCAACCAGTATGCCGCGGCACAATGCCTTCAAGAGGAGGAAAAGCACAAAATTCATGATGGGCACTTCAATGATAAATAAAAGTTAATTCAAAAGGGATAGTGGTTTGTTTGACTATTACAATGCTATTTCGTACTTAAAACGTTCTAGAGTTCGAACATTAAGTTCAAAAGAAATTCGACCCGGAGTTCGAACCGCGCGCAGTGAAAAAATGCATAAACACCATCTATTGTACACCAGTGGAGTGCCGTGACATTTGATGATAGGTAAGCTGTTTTCCATAAAAATTTTAATTAAACAAATACTGGAAATGACAAAAATAAACAGTTCATTTAATTCTAAAATAGATACATTGACACGAAACAAGATATAAGAACTTGTTTTTATTATTTTTTATAAATTAACTATATTCGGCAATTACTTTGATGGAATCGACGACAATCGATTTTTATGATAAAGTAATTAAAAGCTTTTTTTTCTAATGAAAGCAACCTAGTGACGACAATCTTTCCTCCGACTGAGTGTTCCTTGCAAATGTATCAATTAGGGCCTGATGGCCGAGCGGTCAAGGTGGCAGCCTGCCGTTCTGGGGGACGCGGATCGAATCCGGACGGGTCAAAGAATCCCCAGGAAATTTTTCGGGGGGTGGTCCATTCGGATATGTCGGGCCCAGTCCGTCACCACCCGGTCGCCCCATTGTGGGCCTGGCCGAACTCATAATGGACCTGCTTTAAGAGGCCCTCTTAGTGCCCACAGGGCGGAAAGAGTAAAAAAAAAAAGAAAAATGTATCAATTAGTTTCGTGGCTGAAAAACTGCGATCAACAGACGCACTGGTAGATGGTGCCGTAAAAGTAATCCTCTTCCTCTCCCCCCACGGGGTGGAATTTCCAAAAATCCATTCTTAGTGTGCATTCTCATGACGTACCAAATTTCAACTTTCAACTCCTAACCGTTTGGGCTCTGCACTTATTATTATCACTCCATCTCAATTATATTATAAGATATAGCTTTGTAAAGAAACATACATAAAAATAACATAAAATCTTCTTTACTTTTTACATCTTAAAACAATCCACTTAGTCAAATAGCTCCCAACGAGTGGCTAATGGATAGAATTACTGGAAGCGTTATATTTTGG